TACTTTGGAAACCTTTTCGTCAATCATTGTGATCATATACAATTAAAACTAATCTACTTTTTCGACTATATTTGTGCACTGATATTTTTATTTTCAATATATTTATTCAACTTATTCTTAATTTATTGATAATTTTAACATTTTCTTTCAATATGAAAATATGATCTTTCAGAGCTAAACAAAACAATTAAATATATGTATAACAGAGCTTCACGACGATTTTGCAGAATCAATTCATCTAAAAATCAGTCGTGATAGAACATTTTTGGATCTTTCTAAAGATTTTGTGGGACCAAGCCTCATTCCAGAAATTTTTAGATTTCTTGCCTTCTAATGATGGTATGGAAAATCAAATAATGTCCAGGATTACCAAATTCCAATTTTGAAAATCAGAAGATTTTTGTAAAAAAACAAGAGTTTTCAAGAGATTTATTTTTCTAAAACATGAGAAATAAATGTGGAAACCTCGGATTTAAATCCGAGAGTTATATGTACCTCAAAAAGTGAATGAGACAGATGAGTCGTTCTAGAATGTGCGAATATAAAAATTATCCTGACAAACCTTATCTATAACCACTTGATTTCTATTGGCTACCGCTCAACCAATAGGATTTGGGGTGAATACAGCTCAGATTTGAACTCTTCACCTTGATTTACCCTAAGAAAGTCGTTTTTCCTATAACTTGATTTCTATTGGTTACTGTTCAATCAATGGGATTTCGAGGCGAATGGAGCACAGATTCGAGTTCTACACTCCAGAAAACCTCGAACTATCATCGCTGTGATCGGAAGATAGAGCTCTATTTGTGGATTAATTAGAGCGTCGAGAAAAACAGAACCGAATTTCGTTTAATTATCTTTGTAATAGCTGAGTTGGCTTTCTTGTTTCCTTATGTTTTATATACCATTTTATAGCTCGTGAAATTCTCTATCGAATGGTATATAATAGTTGGGGTTTTATTTGACTATGATAGGAAAAGTTTTTCACGAAAGCGGAGATATGTCGATCTTCTCATAGGGAAGCATAGGGAAAAAAGACTATTTTCACAATAACTCAGCAATGGCTCGGCCAATCCTTCTCATCTTTGAACTCGGCCTAGATATTGTTGAGAGCAAGAAAAATCAATTAAATTTTGTATCGAATTTCAATTCTTTTTCGTTTCAGTACCATTCTATAAAGCAGCAACAAAATTACGTGATAAAGTATGTGGATTATTTGAAAAATAAGCTTTAAAAGTAATAATTCTTTTTGTCTTTTAAGGATTTAAATAAATTTAAACAAGCTCGACAAGTATATGAAACAACACGTTATGATCCAAAAACTGGGCAAGATAAAGAAGAATCTAAGGTCGATGATAAAACAGATTATCTTTTTATTGATTTAAGCAGATGATGCCGAACCAAATCAGTTAACCGATCGATTGAGCTAAAAACTATCTTGGTATCGATGTAATCGTTACATTATACTTCTAGAGAATTATCCTCTGAATTAGAATCG